GGCCCCCCGTTTGGGCTCCCTCCTGTGGACTCGCCGCTCTGCCTCGCCTGTCCGGGCACTCCCCCGGCAGCCCCCACCCGGGCTGCCCGTGACAGGAGGCGGCAGCCGCGCGCTGCGTCCGGACACGGGGCGGCGGAGGCCTGGCCTGGCTGCTGCAGCGTCAGCCCGCGCCCTCCCAGCGCCGCCCTGCCAGCCCGGGATCCGCCCCGCTCGCCCTGCCGCTCAAGCCCAAGCCGAGTTCACCTTCTTCTTTTCCCCTTAATGGAGCTTTTATCGAAATGCCTCCTTCTCCTTCCTGCTTGTTTGGGTTCTCTCCCTGCAGCGGCCAGCAGAAGGGTCGTGGAGCCCGCGCCCTTTCAGGACTTCGTGAAGGATTAGCCCTATTTAAGCGACTTCAGTCTCCGTTTGGAAAGTGATTTTTCTCCCCATATGGTTGTATTTCTTCGTGCTCTTGGGGCGGGGGAAGCCGAGGGCCTGGCCTGAGTCGCCGTTCCCCTTGACCTGCTGTGACAGCGCCCCCCGCCCGTCCCAGAGGAGAGGAGCCACGCAAAGCTGTGGGCGAGGAGCCGGTCAGAACCTGGCTGGTTGGCTCCTGCCCTCCGCCCGCTTGCTGCGTGGCGCTGGGCAGGCCGCTCCGCCTCTCCGCGCCTCCGTTTTCGCACCTGTCTGTGAAGCAGTAAGTGTACCTGTCCCTCGGCTGTTGGGAGGGCCGAGAGAGTTAACACACGCCAAGCTCTTGGAAGCACGCACGGCACACGGGGAGCCCTGGGCAAGCATTTACTGGGAAGTAAGCAGGTAACTGGTGGAGCTGGACTTTCCCTGAACCGCCATCTCCCGAGTCACTGAGGGGAACCTGGGCGTGGGCCCAGGGCGGGCTCAGCACACACAGCGCTGCACGTGTGCGGCGCAGCAGTCGGCGCGAGGGCAGCCCCAGCCCCGTGAGGCCGGGCGGCCCTCACCCTGCTGCTGGCTCTGCGCTGCGCCCAGAGCTCTTCGGCCCCGCGGCCTCTCTCTCCACCGGCTCCCGGGCACTGAGCTGGGGGCCCTCGAAGCAAAATGCACCTGGAGGGGTCAGCCAGCCGCCGCCACGGTTGCCTGTGACGAGAGTAAGCGGCTCCGAGCAGGGCGATGTGAGCCGGGGCCTTTTTTTGGTGAACGTGCTCATTTCCCCCGATGGGGCCTCCTCCTTGTCAGGAGCCGTATTTTCACTTCCCGTCCGATGGGTGTCATCGCAGCAAGCCGCTCGGTGTGTCGCTCCCAGAATAACAGGGTTTGCTTTAATTTGGAAACGTGTTTGTAGAAAAAGACAGCCAACCAGGCCGCCCCACAGTGGTCCTGGGGGACCGGGGCCAGGGGACCCCGTGCCCCTGGAAGGCACAGAGCTCTGGCCCCGCGCGGCTGGGACACCCGGCCGAGGGGCTGAGGGCACGTTACTCACCTCTCCGCGCCTCAGCCTCCTCAGCTCAGAAACGGGCTGTGACTGATCGTCGTGAGGATGAAGAGCAATTAATAGCAGGAGTAGAAATGCTTAGCCCGGTGCTGGCACTTGGGACCTGCTCAGTCGATGTGTTGGGTCGGCCAAGAAGTTCTTTTGGTTTTTTTCCATATGAGGGCTCTAGGAGCACTGCGTTGTCTTTAACGTCATTCGAAACAATTTTGTTAGATTGTGTTGTGACAGCTGTCATATCAGTGCGTTTTTAAAAAACCCATCAAAATTGGTGAATTTTTGTGTAGCTGCTTTAATACTGAAAAAGGAAGAATATATGCAACATTTTCGGCATCTTATGCTTTATTATTTCAAGAAAGGTAAAAAACACCACTGAAACACAAAGAAAGATTTGTGCAGTGTATGGAGAAGGTGCTGTGTGACTGATCGAACGTGTCAAAAGTGGTTGGGAAGTTTTGTGCTAGAAATTTTTCGCTGGATGATGTTCCACAGTCAGGTAGACAAGTTGAAGTTGATAGCGATCAAATCAAGACATTAGCTGAGAACAATCAATGTACCATGCAGGCGATAGCCGACATACTCAAAATATCCAAATCAATAGAGTGATTGGTGAAAATGAAAAATGTGTCTTTTATTTTACAGAAAAACCTAAACGGGCTTTTTGGCCAGCCCAGTAGCTGCTAATGTTGTTATCACTAGCGCTACTAATTGTCACTCATTATTATTATTGGCCAGATAGGGCTTTTTTTTTAATAGCCTTATTGACATATCATTTGCATACCATGCAATTCACTTGTGCGCGAACAGTTCCGTGACTCGTAGCACGTTGACAGAGCTGTGCGGTCCGCTGCAGTCCCCTCTCAGAGCATTTCTGTGACCCCAGAAGGCCATGCACAGTCACTCCCTGCTCCCTGCTCCCTCCTCCAGCCCCGGCCGACTGCGAGGCCGCTGTCTGTCTCCGCCGACGTGCCTCGTCTGGATGTTCCACGTAAGCGGAATAATCGAGCTGTTCCACGTTACTTCTTCTCACCCGCTTCCCGCAGCGGCTTTCCCGACGTGGAAGCCGACTCCCAGAGGCCCTGGGCCCGGGCAGGTGGAAGACACGGGCTTGAATGCAGGCGCCTGCCCTCCCCCTTGGGCAGGCGGCACGAGGTCAGGCAGGTGAGTTCCACCCGTGCCCCACGGGCCTCGGGAGCCGCTCCTGGGAACGCCAGCCGCCCTTGTCTCCTGTCACGGAGGGCTCCAAGGAGATCCGGGCACGACTGTGCCAGAAGTGCCACGTGCGGTCCCCCCTCCCTTTGTCACCTGCGCGTGTGTGTCTTCTTCAGCCTGCGGAGGCTCATCCAGACCCATGTCCCGGTCAAGGGGCCGATGGGACAGCCCTGGTGCCACCGCCTTCTGGGGCGACCCACTGTGGTCGTGCCTCAGTTTCCTCGCCGGCGCAGCGGGCGGGGCCCTGGCTGCCGCCATGGGTGGTCACGGGAAAGTGCTAGTCAGGACCGCTGGGGGCACTGGGCGGGCGCCTGAGGGGTCTGAGCCAGATGCCAAAATAATAGTAAGCGGGTTGAGTCTGGCCCGGGGTCGGGGCCCAGCAGGCCCCCCAGCGGCCCCCATTCCAGCTTCTGCCTCCCTTGGGTCCCTTTGCGCCCCATGGAGCCCAACGGGGCTCATCGGATCCGAGGTGCCAGCAGCATCTGCGCCCTTGCCGTCTGAAGGGCCCTGTAACATGAGGCCCCCAGGGGAGTCTGGGCGGGCGTTCTGGGAGGCACCCGCACTGGGCTGGGGGCTGGGGGGCTGGGGGGCTGGGTGTCAGCGGTGGGGAGGCTGCGGAGCTGCTGGGCTTGGCGCCGGGAGCTTTGTCAACGGGCTGGTCCCCACATGGTCAGGGCGGGGGGTCTGAGGGCCCGGGGGTGGGGGGTACGGCCTGGAGCAGGCTCAGAGCCAGCCCCGAGGGACCCTGCCAGGCCCTGGGGCCAGGCTTGCTGTCTCTTGACGTCTGGGGTTGGCCTGGGACGGCAGCGGAGCTGTGAGCACCCGGTGTCCCTGCGATGGTGTGTATGATGCTGCTGTTTGCAGGTGAGTGTGTGTGTGCATGTTTGTGTATGAGTGACACTGTGTGCATGGATGTGCGCGTGTGGGAGAGCATGTGATTGTATGTGACGTGGGCGTGTGGTGGTAGGCGTGGCTGTGTGCGTATGTGTAGGTGAATACGTGTTTATATTTAAATTTGTGAGTTGTGCGGGTGACCTGCGAGCGGTGTGTGTTTGAGGGGAGTCCCCCTGCCCCTCCCCTCCTGAAGGTCTGGGGCTGCTCCGGCAAGGCTCTCCGGGCTGCATCTGGGAGGCCAAGCCAGGCCCGCCGGGTGGGGAGGCAGGGGCCGAGGGCGATTCCTGGGCTTGTAAGGGCACCGTCAGTGCGGCTGAATCTGAGCTTTTGTCTGTCTCTCCCCCGCTCGGAGCAGCCTGCGGTCCGTTTCATTCATTATTAAGTTTTAAATTCACCGACGGAACTGGAGCCACGGAACTCAGCGCCGGCTCTGGCCGGCTGGGTTCGGCCCCCGCCGCGCCTCGGGGAGCTGTGCTGGCTTTATTTGCCGCGTCCTCTGTGTCTTTGTTTTCCGATAAACAGCCGGTGCAGTTTCCTCGGAGGCTGGATGGGCCAGCAAAGGCCAGGGAGCGGGGGTGGGGTAGCCTCTGTCCCTGGGGAGAGTGGGCCCACTGGGTGTCTGTGCAAGGAGACTCTCCGCCCCCCACTCCCACCCATGACGGTCAATTTAAAGACCCACGAGGCTCCGAGCTCTGTGGCCTCTCGGTCCTGGTCCCTCTTCCAATCACTGTCACCATCAGGCCATCTCCTGGGAGGGGGTGGACTTGGGTGAGTCCTGGGGAGGAGGTGAAGCAAAGAAAACGGCCCCTTTGGGGCGTTGGGGCTGGGAACCTGCAGGCCCTTTCCAAGGGCCCCCTGCTCACTCCCGTGTGTGCTCTTTCTCGTGCCCGATTCCACGTGCCCGTGACTTCCTGCCTCATTTGTGTGTCCGCCACCTGATGGGACCGTTCAGCTTCACCAGCGCCCCGTCCCCAGACAGTGCAGTGCGGCCGCATTTGTTAGCATGCGTGGAATTTCCTTGCGCACTTGCCCGTGCCCCTGAGGACCACTGGGCTCTCCCACCAGGACGAGGGGTTGGAGGGGAGGCAGCCGCAGCTCTCCATCAGGTGATGGGACTTGTCTCATTTCTGGTGACTCTGCCCAGGCGGCCCCCGGCCCCTCCCCCATCAGGGAAGGGGTCATGGGGGTACCCAGTCCAGCAAGGGCGGGCGGGCGTTGCGGAGGGGAAAGGCGCGTCCCCTCTGTGTCCTGCCGCCCCTCCGCCGTCCGCTCTGCAGGCTGGAGGGCTCTCAAGGCTCTGGCTTCCGGCCCCCCGTCCCTCCCCACGCCCCCTGCCGCGGCCGGCCAGCTGCAAGCTTCAGCCTGCGAGCTGTCGAGAAGCCAGCTCTGTCCTTGTTTCTCAGCGGCCCTGGGAATTGCCTCTCATCTCTCCGCCTTCCCCCCGCAGATGGCGACGACGACCCACAACTCTCCTGGGTGGCCTCGTCTCCCTCCAGCAAGGATGTTGCGTCACCCACGCAGATGATCGGGGATGGGTGTGACCTGGGCCTGGGTGAGGAGGAAGGTGGCACAGGCCTGCCGTACCCTTGCCAGTTCTGCGACAAGTCCTTCATCCGCCTGAGCTACCTGAAGAGGCACGAGCAGATCCACAGCGACAAGCTGCCGTTCAAGTGCACCTACTGCAGCCGCCTCTTCAAGCACAAGCGCAGCCGCGACCGCCACATCAAGCTGCACACGGGCGACAAGAAGTACCACTGCCACGAGTGCGAGGCGGCCTTCTCCCGCAGCGACCACCTCAAGATCCACCTGAAGACGCACAGCTCCAGCAAGCCCTTCAAGTGCTCCGTGTGCAAGCGCGGCTTCTCGTCCACCAGCTCGCTGCAGAGCCACATGCAGGCGCACAAGAAGAACAAGGAGCATCTGGCCAAGTCCGAGAAGGAGGCCAAGAAGGACGACTTCATGTGTGACTACTGCGAGGACACCTTCAGCCAGACGGAGGAGCTGGAGAGGCACGTGCTCAGCCGGCACCCGCAGCTGTCCGAGAAGGCCGACCTGCAGTGCATCCACTGCCCGGAGGTCTTCGTTGACGAGAACACGCTGCTCGCCCACATCCACCAAGCGCACGCCAACCAGAAGCACAAGTGCCCCATGTGCCCCGAGCAGTTCTCCTCTGTGGAGGGTGTCTACTGCCACCTGGACAGCCACCGGCAGCCCGACTCCAGCAACCACAGCGTCAGCCCCGACCCCGTGCTGGGCAGCGTGGCCTCCATGAGCAGCGCCACGCCGGACTCCAGTGCCTCGGTGGAGCGCGGCTCCACCCCAGATTCCACCTTGAAGCCGCTGCGGGGCCAGAAGAAGATGCGGGAGGACGGGCAGGGCTGGCCCAAGGTGGTCTATAGCTGCCCCTACTGCACCAAGCGGGACTTTAACAGCCTGGCCGTGCTGGAGATCCACCTGAAGACCATCCACGTGGACAAGCCGCAGCAGAGCCACACGTGTCAGATCTGCCTGGACTCCATGCCCACCCTGTACAACCTCAACGAACACGTGCGCAAGCTGCACAAGAACCACGCCTACCCCGTGATGCCGTTCGGTGGCATCTCCGCCTTCCACTGCAACTACTGCCCGGAGATGTTCGCCGACATCAACAGCCTGCAGGAACACATCCGCGTCTCCCACTGCGGCCCCAACGCCAACCCGCCTGACGGCAGCAACGCCTTCTTCTGCAACCAGTGCTCCATGGGCTTCCTGACCGAGTCCTCCCTCACCGAGCACATCCAGCAGGCCCACTGCAGCGTGGGCGGCGCCAAGCTCGAGTCCCCCGTGGCACGGCCCACGCAGTCCTTCATGGAGGTCTATTCCTGCCCCTACTGCACCAACTCGCCCATCTTCGGCTCCATCCTCAAGCTCACCAAGCACATCAAGGAGAACCATAAGAACATCCCGCTGGCCCACAGCAAGAAGTCCAAGGCGGAGCAGAGCCCGGTCTCCTCCGACGTGGAGGTGTCTTCCCCAAAGCGGCAGCGGCTCTCGGTGAGCGCCGACTCCATCTCCAATGGCGAGTATCCCTGCAATCAGTGCGACCTCAAGTTCTCCAACTTCGAGAGCTTCCAGACCCACCTGAAGCTGCACCTGGAGCTCCTGCTGCGGAAGCAGGCCTGCCCTCAGTGCAAAGAGGACTTCGACTCCCAGGAGTCCCTGCTGCAGCACCTGACGGTGCACTACATGACCACGTCGACCCACTACGTGTGCGAGAGCTGCGACAAGCAGTTCTCCTCAGTGGACGACCTGCAGAAGCACCTGCTGGACATGCACACCTTCGTGCTCTACCACTGCACCCTGTGTCAGGAGGTCTTCGACTCCAAGGTGTCCATCCAGGTGCACCTGGCGGTGAAGCACAGCAACGAGAAGAAGATGTACCGCTGCACGGCCTGCAACTGGGACTTCCGCAAGGAGGCAGACCTGCAGGTGCACGTTAAGCACAGCCACCTGGGCAACCCGGCCAAGGCGCACAAGTGCATCTTCTGCGGGGAGACCTTCAGCACGGAGGTGGAGCTGCAGTGCCATATCACTACGCACAGCAAGAAGTACAACTGCAAGTTCTGCAGCAAGGCCTTCCACGCCATCATCCTGCTGGAGAGGCACCTGCGGGAGAAGCACTGCGTGTTTGACGCCGCCACCGAGAACGGTACGGCCAACGGGGTGCCCCCCGCTGCCGCCAAGAAGGCCGAGCCTGCGGACCTGCAGGGCATGCTGCTCAAGAACCCTGAGGCGCCCAACAGCCACGAGGCCAGTGAGGACGACGTGGACGCGTCGGAGCCCATGTACGGCTGCGACATCTGCGGGGCAGCCTACACCATGGAGGTGCTCCTGCAGAACCACCGGCTGCGGGACCACAACATCCGGCCGGGCGAGGACGATGGCTCGCGCAAGAAGGCCGAGTTCATCAAGGGCAGCCACAAGTGCAACGTGTGCTCGCGGACTTTCTTCTCGGAGAACGGGCTCCGGGAGCACCTGCAGACGCACCGGGGCCCCGCCAAGCACTACATGTGCCCCATCTGCGGCGAGCGCTTCCCCTCGCTGCTGACGCTCACCGAGCACAAGGTGACCCACAGCAAGAGCCTGGACACGGGCACCTGTCGCATCTGCAAGATGCCCCTGCAGAGCGAGGAGGAGTTCATCGAGCACTGCCAGATGCACCCTGACCTGCGCAACTCGCTCACGGGCTTCCGCTGCGTGGTCTGCATGCAGACGGTCACCTCCACGCTCGAGCTGAAGATCCATGGCACCTTCCACATGCAGAAGCTGGCGGGCAGTTCGGCCGCGTCCTCCCCCAACGGCCAGGGGCTGCAGAAGCTCTACAAGTGCGCCCTGTGCCTCAAGGAGTTCCGCAGCAAGCAGGACCTGGTGAAGCTCGACGTCAACGGGCTCCCCTATGGCCTCTGCGCCGGCTGCATGGCCCGCAGCGCCAACGGACAGGTGGGCGGCCTGGCCCCGCCCGAGCCCGCCGACCGGCCCTGCGCCGGCCTCCGCTGCCCCGAGTGTGGCGTCAAGTTTGAGAGTGCCGAGGACCTGGAGAGCCACGTGCAGGTGGACCACCGCGACCTCACACCAGAGACCAGTGGGCCCCGGAAAGGCACCCAGACGTCACCAGTGCCCCGGGTAAGTGCGGCCGCCCGACTTGGGACCCCTGCTCCTTGGGGCCACGCTGAGCGCGGTGCTTCCTGGCGGCACTCTCGTCAGTGGCTTGGTCGTGCAGCGGTCGAGCACCCCCATTCTGTGGTAGATTCAAGTTTGAACCCCACATCCCCTCCAGCTGCGTGACGTGCGCACACTGTCGATCTCTCTGGGCCCCTTGTGCCAAGTGCTCATCGGTGAAAGGGAAGCGGCTGTCTCGGCCTGATAGAATCCTTGCGAGGGGCCCGTGACATCATCCAGGGAAGGGGCCCATACAGTGGCTGACAGCGCACGGTGTGTGGCCCAGAGCTGACGCCGTCGTTCTCGTGGTTGACGGGGACGGCGTCTTCGCCTGCCTGGTGGGTCTCCTGGGAAAGCCACTCTGCTCTCTGGGCTTTAGGTGCAAGAGTCTTTTGATAGCTCATGGCGCCTGGCACTGGGGACTCAAATGTGCTACTAGTTGTGGTCACCAGCTTCGTTCTAGTTAGTGCGGTTGCTGATACACGGGAGGCCCTAGAAATGTTATCCATAATGATTGATTGATTGACTCATTCATTCATTCATCAAATTTGTTCCGAGCACCTAGCAGCCAAGAAGAGTCAGAAATGGACCCTGTCCTCGGGGGGGGGGGGTCCCCAGACCAGGGGAGTCACAGGACCCTACGCAGTGGCTTTCTGTGGGGCAGCGGAGTCTGACTACGGGAGGGTCCACAGAGGGTACAGCGGCCGGAGACACCCGATGGTGGACCTGGAGCCCCCGTGGCCCTCGGGGGTCAGGCGGGACGGGCTGGGGATCCCCAGCGACTCAGCGTTGTCTGGTCCCTGACCCAGGAGGTGCCACGCACTTCTCAAGGGTGTCTTCCCCTGGAGGGCTGCCGTCGGAGCTGCTGGCGGGGAGGTGGGACTTAGGGGCTGGACGCCTGCCACGGTGGGGGAGGGGCGGCCGCTGGAAGGCGGGGATGTCTGCTGAGGAGGTTTCAGTGCGGGGTCCGGGCTGGGGCCTGTGCGCTGGGGTCCCCGGGGGTGGGGGCTGCTGCAGGGGGTGAAGGCAGGCTCCACAGGGAGCCCAGGTCCTGAACGTGGGCCAGTCCCGGTCACTGCCGCCCGGCGCTGTCTCCCCGGCCTCAGCCGGCTCCGGCCGGCCCATGAGGGTGGGCCTGGGGGCATTTGGGCCTGGAGTCAGGTGGGCCGGGTTAAAATCTTCCCTCCCAGGACCCGCCTGTGATTCGGCCTCTCTGAGCCTCTGTCCTCACTGGTCAAGCCAGAGGGTACGAGCAACTGTAACAGTCACAGCTATAGCGTCCGTCTCCAAAGCTGGCCCCTGGAGGCCAGCCTGGTTCGCACCAGCGTCTGCTCTGATTGGTCAGCGCCCGCGCTGGCCTGTTGTTATGCGCCGGGATCCGCTCCCGCACTGTGTTTCGCTCTGAGGATTAGAAGCACCTAGTAAACGTCAGCTGTCATTTCCCCATTTATAAGCACAACTCATTTATCGAGAGGTGAGGACGTCCATGCGCTAATCTAGTTAGTCCTCCTGACACTCACGTGACAAAGAAACGGAGGCTCGAACAGCCAGGAAGTTCACCACGAGCCCCCAGCTTTCAAGAAGGAGGGAGGGGATGCGAACCCAGGGAACACGGGCCACAGACCGAGCTCTTGACCCACAGTCCGCCCGGTACCCCTGAAGCCCGCTCTGGGTGCAAGAGGGGCGAGGCTGGCTGGGGCGGGACCTGGGGTGGCCGCCCCCGGGCACAGGCCGGGCGTGGCACTGGCCCCTGCCAGGCGTCCCCAGCCCCACGCTGCCTCTTTGGTCCTGCCCGCCGCTGCGCTGGGCTTCCTGAGGGCCAGCGGTTGCTGGGAGCCTCCTCCCACCTGGTCTCAGCCCTGGATCCCAAGCCAGGCACCACTTTCGAGAGCCCCCACTGCGTAGGTGCTGGCTCTTCTATTGTTTCCGTGGCAACAGCTGGGCTCCTGCCTGGCTGTGACCTCTGTTGCGGTGCAGGGAGGACCCAGGCTCAGAAAGGCGGAGCCGCATGCCCGGGGAGCACCGCTGTGCGCCACAGTGCAGGGGTTCAGAGCCCAGTGCGCTGGTTCCTCGGCACCCGGCGGGCCTCCCTCTCCGACCCGGGGCTGTGGGAGGGGGAGAGCCCACGGTCCCAGCCCGAGGCCCAGTCAGACGGGCCGTGTGCAGACGGAGCGAGACAAAGCGCGGGCAGCTCCCGGTGCCGGCGCAGCCTCGGGGGCCCGCCCCCCTGCCTGGGCACGCCTGGTGGCAGGGGCCCAGCTGTCTGCGAGCCCACCCCTCCCTCCCGCAGGGCTCACGCATGTAAGAGCAGACTCTGGGGGCTGCACCGTGGCTTGGGGGCTGGCAGGCTGGGGCCCTTGGGAGTGTATCCATAGCAACCAGCTCTCGGAGGACTGGGTTCCCGTGGGGCCGGGGCTGCTGCTGGCTAGAGCATGAAGCGTCGAGGCTTCCACCTCGCCCTGTTTATGGGCAATAACAGCGCCAGCCCAGCTCCAGGCCCTCTGTCGCCTGCGCCGCCCCCTGCCAGGCAGGGCACAGTGGGTGCTGTCCCACTCCATCTCCTAGCTGAGTGGCCGGTGTCCCAATTCGGGGGCTCATCCAGGCCACACCAGCTTTCTGTCACCGGCAGAACAGCCCCAGGGTGGGCCGGGGCGTGGGCCAAGAACGGCAGCTCAGACGGCGGGCTCCGGAGGGAGGCCGCCGGGTCTCGGGTCCCTGCGCGGGGCGGTGGCCCAGGCGCTCAGCCTCTTGAAAGTCCACTCTCTCCCTCCCTGTGGTGGAGCTTGCGGAGGGATTGTAACGTTCAGAATAAACAGTGCCCTGCCCCTAGTAGGGGCTCAAGAAACGTGAGCGGCCCTCACGGTACCGGAGACTCGGCAGCTCCGGCTGCTCTTCCCCTTCCTGCCCTCCCAGTGCCGTGCCCGCTGCTCTCAGCGGCATTCGCTTTCGGCTCTGGGCCCTCCCTGAGGCTGCGCGGGGCCGGGCTCCGGGAGGCAGCTCTGGCCGCGGGCTCTGGGGCTCAGCCTCAGCTCTCCTGGGCCGGGCCCTGGGGAAGCGGCTTATGGCAGAGGAGGTGCTTTGAATGCCAAGTTCTGTCTGTGATTGTCTCCTAGCGGGGGCCGAAGCTCCAGAGGAGGAGGGGTCCCTAGGGGGGTGGAGAAGGGGAGACAGGCCGAGAGGCGGTGCCGGGGTGAAGATGAGGGGGGCGGCCAAGGTTGCAGCAGGAAATGAAGGGGGAGGGCTCGAGTTCCGCCAGCCCCGGCAGGTGCCCTCTGCTCTGGACGGGGGCACCCCGGTCTCCCATGCAAGGCCGCAAGGGCCGTCTTTGTGGGGGCCTCCTGGGCACACACTCACCTTAGTGGGTGCCAGTGCGGCCAGTCTGTGCGCGGGAGTGCGTGCTTGCCTGTGTGAGCACGCACACCTATGCTTGGGAGGCTGCGTGTATGTCCTCAGGGGTATATATCAGGGCAGCTGCACGCGCGCTTGTGTTAGAGGCTGCTGTGCGTCTCGGGCCCGCGGAGAGTGATGGGCGTGGCCCCCAGGCTTCCAGTGAGGGTGCGGAAGCGTGTGTGTCTCTGGGGTGAGGTGGGATGTCGGCCTGTGTGAACTTGGGGGCGCCTCTCCGGAGGGCGTTGCGTCTGCGCCTGTGTTGCAGGGAGCTGGTTGTCATGTGGGGTGTGGGGTGCGTCCGTGAGGGGCTGTGTGTTCCTGGGAGTTGGGGTGAGGGTGAGCTTGCAGGTCTGTGTGTACGTCCTCATGTGCATGTCTGAGCCTGTATAGATGGCTGGCTGGCTGGATAGGTCGGGGGGGGCGTGGCTGTGCGCTCACAGGGATGGGTAGATGGGCAGGTGGGTGGATGGCGAGGCGGAAGGCGGGGCGGGGGGTCAGAGTGCCTCCAGGCAGGGCAGCCCCTCAGCTTCCTCTCCGTGGTTCTGCTGCGCGCCTGCTCCTTGGGATGGGGGATGAGGCCTGCCCCCCTTTCCCCAGACTGGAGAGTGGGGTTCGGAAGCCGGCGGGAAGAGAATGGCCTGGAGAGGCCTGGGAGGGGGCCGGGGCCATTCTGGGAAGCCTTGGGCCTGGGCCTCCAGGAACCTCGGCTCTCTGCCCCTCTCTCCCTCCTGACTCATTCCGTTCTCTCTCTGTTTGATTTCCAAACAGAAAAAGACGTACCAGTGCATCAAGTGCCAGATGACCTTCGAGAATGAGAGAGAGATCCAAATCCACGTTGCCAACCACATGATCGGTAAGTGGGGGGTCCGCCGCCTGTGCTGGGGCCGTGCGCTGGGGTTTGAGGGGTGCGGTTCCCGTCTTCATTCCGCCGGCTTTGAGGGCGCCGGCTGGAGTCATGGCTGCTGGTTCAGAGCTTCTCGGGTTGAGGAGAGCGTGTCGGAGCCAGAGCTCCGTCCCCACGTGGCCTCCTGGTCCCGTCCCCACTCACGTCCCAGTCCAGCCTTGGACAGCCCCTTCCGTTTCCCAGCCTCAGTTCGCCTCCGTTGCCGAGACGACGTGCTTTCCAGTTGTTGTCAAGCACTCAGGGCCAATGGTGCTTCTGTTTTGTCGGTCATGATGTCGAACAGAGGCAGCCACTCACGCTTCCGCGCTAAGCGTGGCGGGCTCCCCGGACGCGCTGTGAGACCGCAGCTGACAGAGTCACCGCGGCGCTTTCCCGGCTCCTCGTCTGTGGCTGGGACTGTGGGAAACTCAGCCTTTCTGGAGGGGGCACTTTCAAAGCCCCGTGGTGTCCCCGCGCGTCCCAGTGTGGAGGGAACCTGTGAGGTCCCATGTGCCTTCCGGGGGTGGGCGTGCTGCCCCTGGCAGGGCGGGGGGCCTGGAAGAGAGGACAAAGCTGGGTTTCTGCCAAGCACAGGAGGGCAGTGGGTTTGGGGGTCCTCAGGAGTTTCTGGAATCTGGGTGCCCTGAGTCTTTGGAGGAAGCGGGATTATTTTCTTGAAGGCCCTGCCACCTAGAAGTGGGGCGCCTGCCTCACATTGACCACCTTGACCATTCCTTCCTCCCTTCCTCTCTTCCTCTAAATGTCCTCCTTATAGTCTTAACAGCTACGCCAACACAGTGCTGTTTGATAAAACCCTTGAATGACCACATACATTCAAAAACATCCATGGAAGTGGACTGCGAATGAGGACGGGGTCCTGCCTAGTAGCGTGCAGGGCCCCTCGCCCATGCCCGCTCGGCTGCGCTGGCTGTGGGCCTCAGAGGCAGCAAGGAGCCGCTGGCCTCAGAGCCGGAGATTTCATCCCAGGCGAGGCGTTCTTAGGGTTGCAGAAGACCTCTCACCACGCAGGCCCTGCGTGCGTGGCTGCGCGCCTGGGCCCGGGGCCCCCTGTCAGCTGTTCCACCTCTCGCCCTAGCCTGCCCCCATCTGCCTCATCAGCCCTACTTATTAAAGACCATCGACTAAGCAGCTGCTGCCTGCCGAGTTCTGGGTGGTCTCTGTGAGCGTTAGAGGGCGAAGAAGCACCCCACAGAAGATGCCGCAGTGCGCACCCTGCGCTGCAGAGGGCGGCAGTCACGTCGGGTGAGGGTGTTCCCGGCTGCCCCGATTGGTCCCTGGAAGAGGTGCCAATTGTCCAGCTTACAGAGGAGGTTGAATGACTCACCCCGGTTCTTGCAGCTGGGACTTGGAGGAGCCAGGGCCTGAATAAAGCCGGGCTCTCCTCTCCGTGCGGCCCTCCCGCCAGGGCCTGTGGCAGGAGAGACCCTGCTCGGCACAGTGGTGGGGGCTCAGCAGCAGCCGGCTCTGTCTGTTCCTAGTCCCCACCAGTCCCTGTTGTGTTTTCAGGGGGTGCTCTGGGTCCCCGGCCTGGTCCCGTGGGCCCCTGAGTGTGCAACCTTGGGCTTGTGCGCTAGGGAGCCATGGGACGTTTGGGAGCAGCGCGTGGCCTGGCCTAGCCGCGTGCTTCAGGGACGTCGGTCTGGCGGCGGTGACTGGGAGGAAGGCGGGAGGGGCGGAGCCCCGCCTGGCCCGCCCGGAGGTGAGGGAATGAGTCAGGGCCCGGGGGCCAGGAGAGCAGGGAGGTGAGAGGCTGTGTGTGGCTTGTGCCGTGCGCCGCGTCGGCCCTGCTGGCTCGGGGAAGGGGGTGGGAGGTGTGAAGGAAAGAGAGCCAGGCACCGGGGCCCTGGCAGCGGTGGGGGTGGCTCTGCAGTTTCAGTGGAAACCAGGGCCCGGTGTCCCTGCGGACAGCTTCCCCTGCTAAATGGCCCGGGCCCAGAGTGGCCGCCTGGAGCTGGCGGGGCTAAAAGCCCCCTTAGTGGCACCAAGCGAAGGCCGTTCAGCCGGGCGGCCTTCTCATAAACCTGGGGCACCGGGGGTGCGAGGCAGGCCCCCTCCGGGGCCCGCACTGCTGGAGGCCTCCCGTGGGAGCGCTCAGCGGGCCTTTTTATGGCCGGGGGCCTGTGTGTGGCTTTGCAGCCTGCAGGCCCGGGAGTTACGACGACTCAGGGACACATCTCCTTGGCAACGTTTCCCGGCACCCCTTTCCTGGCGGCTGCTGGCCAGGGAGTGAGGTGGAGCTCGCGGACAGGCAAGCATCTTTGGAAACCTTTTCGGCGCTGGGGTCTCCTTTGCATCCCTCCTCCCTGAAAGGAGTGAGGCCCCCGCTCTGGGCTTTGCCCAGCTTGGAGACAACCCCTTTCCCCGCGGGAACATCGAACTCTCGGAGCAGCCCACAGCTCCGTCCTGCTGGCCTCCTGCCCGGGGGTCTGCCTGGGCCCAGCTGCCCCGCCCCACTGCCCCCACCGCACCCCAGACGCCGGGAGGCAGCCCCCTCAGAAATGGCTCTGCAGGAGGCCCCGTCTCGGGCTCCCTGGGGCCTGTCCGGTAGGACTGAGGGAAGGCTTGTGGGGGGCTGGCCCCGAGGCAGGGCCCCCTCCAATGGCTGGGGAAGGCGTGTCCGCCCCTGTGCGTTGAACGTGTATGCACAAGGCACCGCAGCCCCGCTAGGACGCTCGGGGCCTCAGACCCCGAGGGAGCGATCGGCTGGGGAGCCCGCCCCCTCCTCACCTGCTGTGCTCGTCCCTCCTGTTGGCCCCTGTCAGGCAGGTGGCTGCATACGGGGTCTGAGAACTAGTCCTTGAAATAATGAGCTTGCTAGGACCTAGGTCAGCCCCCAAGGGGAGGACTCAGCCTCGGGGCCTGGTGTCCTCACTCAGGGCGCCAGGGGCCCTGGGGGGGCCCTGAGAATGGCCGGCTGGGAAGGGGCAGTCCGAGGGCGACCGCGTCAGGAATGCTCGCCCTCCTGGCCTTGGGCAGTGGCTGCGGTCCTTCCGGCGGGCCGCCAGGCCTGTCCCCGTGCAGCGTTAATCATCGTGGAGACGTCATTTTCGTGGTCTCGTCAGCCCCTTTGCCTGGGTGACCTGAGCATGGGAGTTTGCCTGGGCGCCCGTGAAGGGCTGGGCCGTGCCATCGGCGCCAGAGAGATGGTGGCACTTAGGGGCCCAGCCTGTGACCTCCTGCTCAGGCTGCGGCCTCCATGCCGGGCGGGCGGTCCTTGTCTGTGCTCCCTTCTCTCTGAGGCAGGGAGGGCCCTGGTCCACCCAGCGGGGAAGGGTCTGCTCGGGGTGTGTGGGTATGTGGCGGCGGTGGGGGGAGAGACAGACAGACAGAGAGAAAGAGAAAGAGGTTTTCCTCCTGCTAAGCCTTCCAGGGGTGCCCCGATGGGGAGCCACCTTGCAGGCCCCCCCCCCCCCAGCGCCTTGGAGGGGAAGGACGGTCTGGAGGGGAGATCAATGTGTCCCCCTCACGCCGGGAAGGACCAAAACCCTCACACAAAACTGAAGAGAAAAACACGGGCCAAGGAAGAGGAAGGGGCTCCTGCCCACTTTCTGCCGGGAACACGTGTTGCCGGGCTGGGCCGTGTGTGGCTCCCTGGTGGCGCTTTTGATTCAGGTAACTCCAGACCCGCAACATCTGTTGCACCGTAATCTGTGATAAAATATGTCTCCCTCTCCCGCAGAGCTCGCGTTTCAAGTTCTGCCAGAATAACAAGCTTGTACGGAGAGCCTATAATCCAATTCTTGATTCTTTATTTTCCGACGCCCCCCACCCCTTAAGTAGGGCATAGTTGCCCTCTCCCTGGGCAGTCCCCGTGGGTGAGCACTCGGTTTTCCTGACTTGGGAGCTCACTGGTGGGTTTATGGAGCTGTTGATGAGGCACTTCGGTCTATGGAGAGTCCATCAGTGGGTTTTAAGATAGTGGAAGTTTTCTCATTTTTATAGATTTCCTTCCTTCCTTGATTTATTTGAGAGGCAAAGGGCTCCGTAGGCGGGGCTTCCTCTAACAGTAAGCTCAGCGCAGTAACCGCGATGGAGACCCTTGGTGCGGCACCGCGAGCCCACTGGGGAGGCGGGGCCCCACAAAGGGGAGGGCAACACAATGTCACAAGCCTGAGATAGGAAAGGTCAGAGGACAGGCCTGTTGCCCAAGCTGGGCATTCCAGGAGAGCTTCCAGGAGGAGGTGGCACATACTCAAGGTCTTCGAAGATGGGAAGTCAGGCGGGAGGGGCCTTTCCGGCAGAGAAGATGGCATAAGCCAGTTCATAGAGAAGAGGCCTATGCGGTGTGTGGGGACACAATGGACAATGTAGTGTCGCTGCAGAGTACACTGCGATGCAGCAGGCGGCCGGACCACAGAAAAGACTGGTAGAGTCGGTGGGGGGAAGGTGAGGATGTGGGCTGGAGAGGCATTTCAGAGGCAAAACCAGCAGAATTTGGCAATGGAGTGGCTACGGGGAGGGGCGAGGTAGGAATGGCTCCGGTCTCTGGTGGCCGGGTTTTGGGTGACAGGCAGAAGGTGGTTTCACACCCGAAGGAGAGCTGGTGGGGGCTGGCAGGGAAGATGATGACGCTGATCCAGATCGGTCGCGTCTCCTGCGGCCTCCCGAGAACCATGCCCTGCTGTCTGCTCCCCACATGTGACCACGCTCGCCCCTGCAGCAGCTCTCGAGGGACGTGCCCTTCCCCACTTTGCACCTGGGGAGCCGAGGGCACTTGTCTGTGTCCGTCAGTTGCAGGTGGGGATTCGATGCCAGAGCCTGGCGTCCTCTGAACTCCTGCACCAGGCCCAGCGCCGTGGGCCAGTTGGTGGTTCGGCCTTGTAGGAGGGCCCACGGGCGATTTGAGCGTGGGAGTCTGCCCAGCGGCTGGCCACGCGGGCAGGGAGCCCGGGAGAAAGGCCTGGGCTGGGGGAGGGCAGCTGGGTGGAGCCAGGGGCCTGCAGGGCGAG